GTTACTCCCTTTGAATAGATTATGACTTTTTTAAGCAATTGCTTGTTGTCTTTAAGTGCACGCAGTGTAATTCCTCCAGCTAATGTTTCCCATTTGATGATGCATCTCATCCAGCACATTAAACGTTGACCAGGTTTCTCCATTGCTGTGGCCGTTTGGTCTGTAATTAATTATCTATTTGATTAAAGAGTAGAACTGAGTGAAGACAATAAAGGCTAAACCAATGAGGGAACACCCATCAATAACCAATAACTGCTGCAGACTTTGTGACCTAAAACCTATTTTTGAATCAAACCTTGAGAGGGCCTGAGTGTGGATGAGTGTGGTTGAGATGGTGTGGAGTGGGGCAAGGCAGAGTAAGCATGAGTTGGTGAGAATTCTGCCAAGGCTGACTTAAAGTTTTCGTTTGCATCGGAACTGAAAGTTTTCTTGTGGGGAGGGGCGGGGACAATGGGAAAGGGAAATTATGTTCACTCCATCAAATAAGACTTACTAAAAACCCTGTTTTCACAGTTTTCTTCTCCAAAGTCCCATGCATCTCACCTCTTGCTTTCTTCCTTGTACTAAGTTCCAAAATTCTTTCAGCATCTTGATTGTAGCCCTATCTTCTTTCTCTCCCTTTAGTATCTTTTTCCTCCACTATAGTAGCTTAATATCTTTTCTTATGCAGATAGTTCCTGTCTCCTTTTCATAACAATTATAGCTAACATTTATTGATGATTACTATTTGTGAGACACTATGCTAGGTGCTTCATGTGCATTATCTCATTTAATCCACACAGCAGTCTTATTATCCCCATTTTCAGAAGAAGAAGCTGAGGCTTTGCAATGTCCAAAGTCACACAGCTCATGAGCTTTGGAGCTGGAACTAGACTCCAGGTGTATCTGAGTGTGTCCAAGCCTCCAAGACCCGTGTTCTTATGTCCTCTACTGTGATATATGTCCACTGTAGAACTTTTAGAAGAAACATAAAAGTAGAAATATGCTTTTTAAACACCCATAATCTCCCCACCTACAACGAATCAGAACTAAAATTTTGCTGTCTTTCCTTCTAATATTTTTTATGCATAATGAACAGGAAATTTTTAAATTTTTAATAATTACTTGGACTTGGTGTTCATTTTACAATGAATTAACATCCTTAAAATATGTATAAAATCACAAATCTATTTCATAACAGAAGATATTTTAATATCTATGAAAGAGTAGATATTATATAATATTTTAAATTATAGCTTCATTCCAGAACAAGTAAGTTATTAAGTTTTATTTGACTTGGCAATGATGCTATATCATGTTCCAGAATATTTCATTATTAAGTGCAAAATTTAGGTATGACTTTATGTATACATACTAATGATGAAATATCCTTTTTGTATATGAGATCTTCTCTACAAGGAAATGTTCCAGAACATCAAAAGAAAATAAGACTAGAAGAAGAATAAAATAAATCTTTCAGTCTTGTGGACAATTTTGGTCCCATGCTGCAGATGCACACTGTAGGCTTATATCTGAAACAGCAAACACTGAAAGGGTGAAACCATCAACTTAATTACATTGGTAGAGTGGGGAGAAAATCTGCATATAAATGGCTTTCTAATACAATGGCTTAGAAATATGATAAAGGCTGTACTTTTTACTGGTACAAAGTATTACTGGAGTTTGAAGCTAATGATATATTTATGTTTCAAAATGAATGCAAATGGTAGCTTTAATCACAAAGGTTATCTACTGGTAGAGAGAACAAATTAATTTTAAATAGCTATGACCCTATAGCCAAATGGTATTTCAAGTGCTTGGGAGGAAGGGGAGTTGAGTGCCATAATTTGGCCTGGCATTCTTCCCTCTCTGTTTTGAGAATTTGAATGTAATGCCCTTATCCCTTTTTATTAATTTAAAACAATCACCTTTAATACCTTTGTATTGGCATAGGCTCTGGAAAAAAACAAAACCAGGTTAGAATCAAGTCCTTGAACTCACCAACGCTGTGACCTTGTTGGTAAAATTTCACTGTCTGTAAAATTTGGATCAATACATCATAAATTGTTTGATTTAAATAAGAATAAATAAATAAAGTGATAGAATGATAAAGGGCCCTCTAAAAATTTAAATGTCTTTCCTGTTCACTTTTCAATAAATCCTTGAGCATAGCATCTTTGATCCACCTACCAATAGCAAAGAATTTTAGATGTATGGTATTTTACAATTTATGCATATATTGGCATACATTAGCTATCTGGTTTAATCCTCTCACCAACTCCAGGCATACTTACTCTCTTTTCATGAGAAACTGGAAATTCCAACAGATGAAGTGACTTAACTGTGGCCACACAGCTGATACAGAGCTGAGACTCAGATTCAAGTCTCTGGTGTACTACTTGGGTACTCATCCCACTGTAGTAGAAATACCTATTTCATCCACAAATTCAGGAAAAACCATTTGATTTAGACTGTGATTTCCCCAGCCACTGACAATTAAAGACTGCATTGTATACAAAAGGAAAAAAATTTAGTAGATAGTAGAACTTGATTAGATATACCAAAATAACCAAACTCATTGCCATCGAGTTGATTCCTACTCATAGTGACCCTATAGGAGAGAGTAGAACTGCCCTGTAAGTTTTCCAAGGAGCTGCTGGTGGATTTGAACTGCCAGCCTTTTAGTTAGCAGGCAAATGTTTAACCACTGTGCCACCAGGGCTCCTGAATAGATACAGCTTCCAGAATTTTTTTTTATATGTCAGCCATGCTCTTCTGTGGGAAGCAGTATTTTAAGATATGATTAGCATTCTGAGTATAGGGTGATGGTAAACATTGTTTTTGCATTATCATGAGATGGCAAAATTACCCACTTCAAAGGACCAGCTGCTACAGGGTGGCTGGCACCCATAATGCCTACATTCTCAAAATGGTTTTAATTGGTAGTTATCCATGATTTATTTATTTTTTTAGTCAATCAGAGAGGAAATTTATATGTAAACCTATTAAAGCATAGCATCTGTTATGATGACATGATATCACTGAATCTTAATAAGTGAAATGTTCCATTTCAGGATTTTGAGGCTGCTCAGGGTTCTCATTGAGACAAGTTCTAGACAAAAAAAATCAGAAATTCCGTCCCAATCTTTTGGTATTTTTTCCGAAACCAAACCAAACCAGTTGCCGTCGAATCGATTCTGACTTGTAGTGACCCTATAGAACAGAGTAGTACTGCCCCATAGGGTTTCCAAGGAGCTACTGGTGAAGCTGAACTGCTGACCTTTTGGTTAGCAGCTGAGCTCTTTAACCACTGTGCCATCAGGGCTCCATTATGTTTCCAGTACTGTGGTATAATTTTGAATTTATGTGCATAACATATATGAAACTGTTTATCACATTGGATGCATGTGGCCATAAGAGCCTAAATTTTGAAATAAGATGACCTGAGATCAGATCCAAGCTCTGCCAAAATTGCTGAAGAGCTTTAGACCAAGGACGTAACCCCTTGAAACCATTCTCATTTCTATGATATAAATAATAATTCTTACTCTACAGGGTTATAAAACAGATCAAATAGTTAAGAATATTATAAATTGACAGATGTTTATTGTAATACTACTAATAACAACCATTTATTAGGTGCTAAGAGCTTAGATGTACATTATTTAATTTTCTCAAAAATTATTTATTTAGACACTACTATTACATCCAATTTACAAATGAAACTATAGAGGCTTAAAAAGGTTAAGAAAATTATCCATGGTTACAAACTTAGCAAATGGAGGACCCGAGAATTGAACTTAGGTTTATTCTTTCATTTATTCAACAAATACTTGCTAAGAGATAGATCCCTTAAATAAAATCAGCCACTGTATTGAAGAAGGAAGTGAGGAATAGATGTTAGGTAAGCATCCAACCATGTTCACTGTACCCCAGCCACTGTGTGGAGAATGGATTGGTAGGTGACTAGAAAGACTCCAGGAAGGCTCAGTAGGAGGCTATGGACATCGTGTCCAGGTAAGAGATGATGTTGACTTCAACCAAGATGATAACAGTGGAGATAAAGCAACCTAGATGAATTGAGGGTATACTTTGCAAGTAGAGATAAATGTGTGTGGTGGTAGGAGAAAGAAGTCAAGTAAGGAAGGATAACCTGTCATCTTTTAGTCTGAGCAACAAGGTGAACTGAAATGGGGAACATTAGAATGAATGTGCAGACTGAGGTAAATAAATCCTTCTAGGCTCAGATTCCATGCTTTTAACTGATTTTAATGTTATCTTTAATTATTATCATGCATATAAAAAAGAGATATGAAGTCCATGGCCAGATAACCATAAACTCTTGGAAAGGTTTATGGAAAAGTCAAATTATTTCTTCATGTGGGAAAATGGCAAAAAGGAAAATTTGACATAGAACTTGCCGTAGATTCTCAGTTTTCAAAATACATTCCTAAGGACAAGAATTGTCTGAAATTCTCTTTGAACTTTGTTAAATACGAACTTCAATACCTACAATATTGTGAGATAAATTTGAGCGGGAAAAAAATCTGGAAAATAATTTGCCAGAAATTTAACAGGTTAATATTAGATGATGGGGTTATAAGCATTTTTAGACTTATTCTACATTTTTGTATTTTCTAAAATGTTTAGGTATTACTTTCATAACTAGTAAATTAAGAATTTTATAAAAATTGATCTGTAAATAAAGTTATGTTTGTTATGTCTCTATACTCCATAGTAGTTAAGTCCTGACAATCATTGAAATTGCAATCCTTAGTGGAATCAATCAAAACCAATCAAAATAATGATGTAATTGACATAGACCAGGAATGCTGTCAATGTAGGGACCACTAAGGACTTCAAGGTCTTCTTGATTTCCTTCATTTGAAATACATCTAAAGTATTTTATATATGTTATAATCTTTACTTTCCCACATCCTAAAGTAAAATAGTCATAAATAATAGTCTTTAAGAAATCCTCCTAGTCACTCCTGACAGTTGCTTCTTTTCCTTCCTTCCAGGGTCAATGACTGTATCCTGCGGGTGAATGAGGTCGATGTGTCAGAAGTTTCCCACAGTAAAGCAGTGGAAGCCCTCAAAGAAGCAGGGTCTATCGTTCGGCTGTACGTACGTAGAAGACGACCCATTTTGGAGACTGTTGTGGAAATTAAACTGTTCAAAGGGCCTAAAGGTAATGAAAACACAAATGATGTACACTAAGACATCAGTGACAAGCTATTTGGCTAAAATTTGTGCCACAACCCATCTATAATGTGCTCTCTTTTTTCACCTTCCAACATTCAGTGGTTACTGAAAGATTGGAATCCTGCAAAAATAGTTTTATAAAAGGTAAAAGGAATCTATACTCTAAATATGAACTTGGATAAGGAAAGGACAGATTTGTTTAGAAATGTCTTTATAAACAATGGTAACAACCATTTATATTCTTTTATATATTATTAATCTTACCGGGTCATCGTGACTTGGTTACAGATTAATACTTTTTAATTTTTCAGTTACAGATTGTAAACCCTCTTTTTTAGCAAAATATTAATGAAAATAAGAATAATTGAAATAATCTATCGTGGGATAATAACTTTTTTGTTTTAAACAGGTTTGGGATTTGTTTTGATTTTATGATACCCTTACATGTTGTACCCAACAAGTACTACATAATGTTTTATTCTTGAAATAGTTAATTTAAGTTAAAATGTAGTATGTTTTAAAATGTTGACAGATCCCTTGAGGTACTTGTAGTTACCCTGAAGAACTGCATAAACAATGAGATGACTCATTACGCTAATTTTTAAGAATAATCATTTGAGCCCAGTTCTTCACAATGATGACATTTAATATAGCTTAACAGTCTTTTAAATATTCTAGGGAAATCTAATAATTGGCTTAACGGTACTTTAAATATTTTAGAAGAGGATAGTTGGATAGTTGCTCTACTCTTTCAGTGAATCATTTCTCTTTCCCTTAAAATCTATTTAAACCTAATGCTATGTGGGATTAAAAATAATAAGTACACTAGCTTCTCTGGAAGACTTTGTTGTGCTAGGTGATGTCCATCAGTTCCAACTCAGAGACTCTACATACAACAGAGCGAAACACAGCCCAGTCCTGCACCATCCTCACAATCATTGCTATATTTGAGCCCATTGTTGTAGCCACTTGTCAATCCATCTCATTTAGGGTCTTCCTCTATTTCACTGACCTTCTACTTTACCCAGCTTGATGTCCCTCTCCAGGGACTGGTCCCTCCTGATAACATGTCCAAAGTATGTAAGATGAAGCTCACTAGCCTCCTTTCTAAGGAGTATTCTGGCTGTACTTCTTCCAAAACAGATTCATTCATTCTTCTAGTAGTCCAGGATGTATTCAATATTCTTTGCCAACAACATGAGTCAAAGGCGTCAGTTCTTCAGTCTTCCTTATTCATTGTCCAGCTTTCACATGCAATTGAAAACACCATGGCTGGGGTCAGGCACACCTTAGTCCTCAAAGTGACATCTTTGCTTTTTAACACTTTAAAGAGGTCTTTTGCTACAGATTTGCCCAATGCAATACATCATTTGATTTCTTGACTCTTGCTTCCATGGGCGTTGATAGTGGACCCAAGTAAAATGACATCCTTGACAACTTCAGTATTTTCTTCATTTATCATGATGTTGCTTATTGGTCCAGTTGTGAGGATTTTTGTTTTCTTTATGTTGAGGTATACTCCTTACTGAAGGCTGTAGTCTTTGATCTTCATCTGTAAGTACTTCAAGTTCTCTTAGCTTTCAGCAAGCAAGGTTGCTTTCATACCGCAGGTTATTAATGAGACTTCCTCCAGTCCTGATGGCTGCGTTCTTCTTCATATAGTCCAGCTTCTTGGATAATTTGCTCAGCAGACAGATTGAATAAGTATAGTGAAAGGATACAACAACTCTGTCGCACACCTTTCCTGATTTTAAACCGCGCCATATGCACTTGTTCTGTTCAAATGACTGCCTCTGTCTATGTACAGCTTCCACATGAGCACAAATAAGTGTTCTGGAATTACCATTTTTCACAATGGGAGGCAGTAGTGGGTGCTATTTGAAAGTCTGTAGACCCAGGAGTTCGACAGAAATGAATTTAAAAGCCTAGTTCACCTACATACTAGTGGAGTGCCCCAGCTTGGATCAGGGGCTCAACTTTTGTAAGTTTCAACTCCCTCACTGTTAAATGGGGATCATAATGGTAGCATCTATCCCATAGGGTTAAAACAAAACAAAACAGAAAAACAGTTGCCATCAAGTGGACTCTGACTCATGGTGACCTCATGTGCATCAGAGTAGAACTGTACTGCAAAGGATTTTTAACGACTGATTTTTTGGAAGTAGATCACCAGGCCTTTATTCTGAGGCACTTCCAGTAGGACCCAAATCTCCATCCTTTCAGTTGGCAGCTGAGGGTGTTAACCATTTACACCATCCAGGTTATGTGAGGATTAGGTGATATGATGAATATAAAAGCACTTAACTGATGGTTAGCACATGATGAGCAGTAGAGTAAGATGGTTAAGAATATTGTTTCAAGAGCCAAAGTGTTTAGGTTGGAATCTTAGTTGTGTAGCTCACTAGCTCTTTGAGCTTGGGTAAATTCCTTAACCTCTCTGGGCCTTAATTCTCTCTTCTGCAAAATGCAGATAAGAATAGTATTTGCCCCTAGAGATGTGGTGAGGATTAGATGAGTCAATTCACATAAAGTATTTAGAATAGTACCTGGCACGTTTTGACTGTCCAAAAAATATTAACTATGTTGTTGTTGGGTGCTGTCAAGTCACTTCTGACTCACAGTGACCCCTGTGACAGAGTAGAACTGCCCCATAGGGTTTTCTTCACTGTAATCTTTATGGAAGCAGATCACAGGTCTTTCTCCTGTGGAGCCACTGGATGGGTTTAAACTGCCAACCACTTGGTTGGCAGCCAAGCGCTTAACCATTGTGCCACTGAGCCAAAAAACGCCAAACCCGTTGCTGTTGAGTGGATTCTGACTCATAGTGACCCTAAGGAACAGAGTAAAACTGCCCCATAGGGTTTCCAAGCCTGTAAGTCTTTACAGAAGCTGACTGCCACATCTTTCTCCCACAGAGTGACTGGTGGGTTCGAACTACTGACTTTTCAGTCAGCAACCAAGTGTTTAACCACTGTGCCACCAGGGCTCCTAGATATTAACTATGTATACACACACACACACACACACGTTATCAGTAATATTATTTCCTACATATAATTTCAGCCTTTGTAACAATTATTTGGTTGTGGAATGAAAATACTCAGAGATCCCTCAGGGGCTAAATTCAAATGCATTAAAATGACATAACTTAATTTGAAAGAAAAAAAGTGAAATATTCCCATACCACAATTGCTAGAGGTATGAAAGAAAAGGCTTCCTACTCTACCTATTTTCTAGAATCTTAATTGTAAGGTGCTTTAAAGCCGCATAAAATGTAGATATTTCTACAATTCAGTCAACAGTAATTATTCCACACAAAGCTAAGGCAAATACTAATTTAACATTAGCATCCATTAGCAGGCTTCCTTCTATCTAGTCACTCAGTGACCTCCAGTCACTCAGCAGAGCACTTAAAGGCCCTGTTAATTGGTGGCTAAAATTATTTTAGGTAATGCATTTTTCTTTTTTTTTTTTTAATCTTTGATACTGGGTCCCCTCAGGCTGGTTTATTTCAGGTTGAACTTTCTTCTTTTTTGAGGTAAAAGTGGGACAAGAATTGTCCTGGGACATCAGAGGGGGAGACGTGAGTATTAATCAACCAAGTGTGCCCAAACAATCATCCAGTGACAATACACAGCTTATGGGAGATGGGGTTACTTATGTGCCTGGTCTACTGAGACAGGGGAACCAAGAAAACTGTTGGAACTAACTTTACAACTCACTTTAGATTCCTGAAACCAGGCTCCTGCCAAACCTCTGTAGACAGGTCTGGGCCTGGTTTGTTTAGCGGTCCTATTGGGATTATGCTGAGTCAGTCATACTTGTTCTTACTGTCACCATCCAGAGGTGACTGTTGGGGATTTGTTTCTGTATATAAAGCATATTGATTTATGGGGAAAAAAACTGTTTTATTCACTGTTTAAATTCCTAATGCCTCTCCCAGCGCTTTGAATGTAAGAAGTGCTGTATCAGAGTAAATTGAATGATTAAATTGGACTTAAAATTAAATATGATGAAACTTTGCAATTTTAACCTCATCTGCCACTGTATGGTTCTTTATTATTGGCTGATAATATAGTGAAAAGAAATTTCTACCAATGTTTAACTCATACCATGGAAATGCTTACATGCAGTGGAGGATACAGGTGAATCAGATGTGATCTCTGTCCTCAAAAATTTCTAATGGAAGAGATAGACATTATGTCAACTAACTAGTGCATGGCAGAATGAAATCAGCTCTGTGATGGAGCTTCAGCTATGTATTTAATGGCACAAGGAGGAAAATGTGATTTATCTTAACTAAGACAGCCAAAATGTTCCAGAGAATTCGATTATGAATTAAAGAGAATTTAATATGTGCATACGGTCTGTATCTGGCCTTCCTTGACTACATGGGTACTATCTTAAGTAAGTATCAATAATCCAGCCAACTGAGCCAACTAACCTTGATCACGTGTATATAATGCAGAGCTGTCTGGTTTCATTCAGTAATTTAGTCCTTCAGTGATTCAGCAAGTATTTATTAGGTACGTACTACGTACTTGGCACAGAGTCAGGCAATGGGTATTCAAAAAAAAAAAAGGAAAGAGAGAGAGAATCCCTGCTCTCAATGAAACTGTAGTCTGATGGGGGAAAAATTAATAACATTGGTACCAATAATGTAAATTGGAAAAAGTACGATGAATGAACATAAAAGGTTGTAAAGGGGTTCCAATTAAATAGTGAATCAAGGGAGACTTCTCTGAGGAAGGACCACTTAAGCTAAGTCTTAAAATGTAAATAGAAGTTAGCCAGCTAAAGAGTGAGGAAGAGCATTCCAGACAGAAGAAAAAGTGTGTGTGTATGAATGCCCTGAGGCAGGAAAGGTCTGGATACCATATAGGAACTAAAAGAAGTTAACTGTAGCTGCAGCTGAGTGATAGGACAATGAAGGACATGAAATGATATTGTCCAGGTAAGCAGGGGCCAGATTGTGCAGTGCTTTGT